GACGGACTGTACACTCACCTCCGTGAACCCTAGTTTTGCCGTGTGTGTGGAGACTGGGTCAGCTGTACTGCCATTTTCTCCGCTAAAAAAAGCATGCAAAGGGGGAGAAGCCAGTGATCCGCTCGCGCTGGCGCGCGGCTAGCCAGACGCCAGCCATATGCAGTCAAACGCGCTACTAGTCTGGGCTCTCTCACTTCTGATCTTTCCCTAACGTTGAGTGGACATTTCGCTACGGTCGCAGCATGCCGCACCGCGAGGATAATTGCACTGAAGTCACGTTACGTGGCACGCTACTGCAACAGTAGACCCACACACCTCACACATTACAAGGATCGTCCTCGGAGATTAATATACATTCCGCCTTTAGGCATGGAAGAGCCCATCAGTACTCTCAGAGCTCACCCACACTTACCCGGATAAAATTGGGCTATTGTTTTAGCGGCACTCTGCTTGAATACTCCTATAACAGCTCCGCCGACAGGAACCTAAACAGACATGTTCCAATCAGATTCTCCAGCTTTTCTCTCCTCATAGCTCTCCGGCATCTCATTTTTTCGTTTACTCAGTATCTTATGTTGTGTGCCTTTCTAATTTTCGAATGAAACAATTAATGGATCACAAAACAAAAACGAAACAGTGCAACATGAAAAAAGAAACAAACAAATAAACAAGTAATAAACAAAATAAAATAAATATTAGTATAAATGAATAAAAGGGTAAATAAACAAATAAGTAGAACAGTTTTGAGTAAACCTGGAAGTTCTTGTCGAGTGATTGTACGAAGGCATCAATGCGTCCAGCTGCTCGGCCCTAGAACAGTCCAGTGAATGAGTAGCAATGCGCACGGGATATCCCTTCCGCGTTACTTCAGCGAAAGTGCCTTGGAGCTGAAGCAACTACCCTCTCAATGCCATCAAAGGTAGAATAGCTGGGACTAAAAAAAGTCGTAGTCAGGATCGCACTATATCCCCAGAAAATAATTCCATAGGCACGAAGCACGCTCAGGTACTTCAGCTGGATTTCTGAATGCAGGGGATACTAAGAAGCATGATCCAAATTGATCATTTATCAAACATCCTCCAAAGCCATCAGCAGCTTGGAGTTCCTTCAAAAAGGGAACATAGCGGGAGGGAAACCTGCACTGCCCAGTTCTTCAGGTATCGGGCGTTCACCGATTTTGTTCTCCGATTTTCAACTCCTAATGTGGATTCGGCTGAAAGTTCCCCCTGCAGTAGTGTGTGTCTCGTCCTCCCCCCCCCCCCCGACAAGGAATATTCGCTCGGGCAAAGAAGAATGTCTGTCGCTGCGTGCACATAGGTTACGGGTTGCAGCACATGCCCCAAATTAGTAAATTCATTGAAAACTTGCTTCCCAGGTGGTTTGACTTCGTGGACACGAATAACACTTCTATACGGAGAGTCAAGTTTGGGGAAAGGATCGGGTTTCTAATCAAATCGCAAAATCACGCGTGGACGTTATCGCGGCAAGCTAATCTCTCGTGCACGACAATTTTCCCGGAATTAAGTGATCTTTTCCTGCTGCTAAGCTGTCCTTAAGCAGGGAAGATACTATCGACAGGCAACTAGGACAAGGCGCTAATGTGTCTAGTTCATGTTTCTAACTGCTCTAGCAGTCCAGAGGTCCAAGGTACGTTAGTGCTGCAGCCTGTAGCGCGGACGCCAGGCGGTCTCTTGTTAAGCGGATGGATCAAGCTATCTCTAAAGGCAAACTTTCATCCAAATCTGCCTCTGGAGAACTGAGCCACGCCCGAGTAAAAGGAGCCTTCCACCTTCAGGAGCTGGCCAGCTGTTACCAAACTTGCCTTGAAGAACAATGTCACTAAGTCATACACCTATTAAACCCGCAGGGCAGGGTCGCACTCAACTGTCCAATTGAAGCAAAATGCGTGGCGTACTCCAAAAAATGGTTGATGTGCCCTAAATGTCCAGTCCTTCCCTATGATCTTCAGCAGCAAAGCTTGGCTGAATGAAAACGGCCGAAAAAATTACCGCATTGAGTCTTCGAATGCACTCTTCGCTTCTGGAGTCCATAGGCATTATTCACAAGATGAGGAACTTGATAGAGCTAAAATTATAGGATTCTGTGTGGTCAGTCACCTGATACAACTTACCACGTACTCACCTGACATACACTGGATATCGCCTCCAGTGAGTCGGGACTTCGTGGAGAGAAGCAAGACGTCGTAGACATAACACAGAGAATCTGGAAAGTAGAGCTGTGGAGGAAATAAATTAAATGTGAGGGAGTGGGTCAGGAAATCCGAATCGCAGCGTCGCCACGAACGCATAGCGCTATGTTCCGGGATATGCAACATGGATGGCAGCCTTTGCAGAGTAGTCTTTGCACGGCCATGCGGGGTGAATTAGCAGCCGTGCGTCGCCACAACTCGGATTGCCCGGCCCGTACCCGCAGGTGAGGATTGTGAAGAGTTCATTCTCGGAGAAGTTCGTATTGCTTTCAAACAACAGACATTCAGAAATATTTCATTTCGACGTTGGAAATTCATTTTTTCGAGACAGTTCACTTCTTCAGAAGTACTAGTTCAGTAGAAGTCCTTCAGATTGTTTCGCATAGAGTGAAAGTAGGTGCAGAGGGAAGAAAAGTTCCCGAGTTCCTTGACCGCCGGGCCACAGCAACCCTGCGCCAGCATAAGCTGACTTCGCCATCTCACTCCGTTATGGTAAGATTCATGATGAGAAGCAGCGCCAAACTTTTGCGGTGCCACTTCCTCTTCCCCTCCCCTCCCCGCCCGAGAATACTTTGTAACCACTCTGGTTGTCTTCGCTTTATTAAGGCTGACCCTGGATGAAGGGAAAGATCATTACTATCTCACTGTGAGCAGCAGATAAGCGCAGGTCACGCGATAATTGTGGAAATCACAGTAGGGGCTGTACTTTGCATTCGGAACGGGAGTCGAGGCCTTGAGATTTAGTACTGGTGACTCGATTTGACTGAAACCCACCCGTTTCTATAGCTGATATGCGTCGTTTTAGCAGCCAGAGTGAGGAGGATGTCACAGGGGCGGCATTGAAGGGAATCTGAATCTCTGGCGAGTGACGGTCGAACAGGGGGGAGGGAGCAGTAGTGAGCGTAGTTCGCAAGGAAAAAATTTGGGGGAGGTAGTGGGAATGCCAAAAAAATGCTAAGATGATGCACTTATAGATGGCAGTTCCTAGTCCGAACGAGGTGTGGCGTGTGGCAGCTTCTCTCCTCCCGCTCGGGCCCCACGTACAATATTGCCGTCAATGTTGGCCTCTCAACAGTGCGACCTTAAATACTGTAATGCACACGAAATTTGCGGCTTCACAATCAAATATGGAAGACCATCACTGTGATCAGAATTACCTCTTCGGCACGTTGTCCCAGAATTCTGTTGACAGTTTCTATATCTGACACCAATGCATCACCGTCGCGTACGGGCTCTACTATCAATGGCTCAAAGCCTGAAAATGTTTGATTCTTGATTAGGTGCTCATCAAAAAGAGTTAGATTAATTCTAATTTTTCAGAAAACTTGGAGACAACAATCCGTGATAACAATTCCTGGGCTTGAAGATCAAATAAGAACTCGTAGATGACTTGGAAGTCGAAAAATGAAAGACAAAACTGTTGAAGAAGCATCAGCGCGTTTCTCCGGCTAGTGACCCTGCAGCGACTCCGCCACTCTCAGTGTCAAGCTGCGGATACTGGACAACTTTTGAGACAGGACTATTTGTAGAAGGAACGACTCACCTCCCAAACGATCATGGAATCTTTTTAAGTTTAGAAAAGTATGATAGTAATTTCTCAGTATAAAGGTTACCCAGTACAACACAGCGAATATAAATACCTGCGTGGAAAATCGACTTGAAGCAGGATTTCTGGTCGACTCGCAGCCATAGAACGTATTTCGCTTCGGGTCTCAGTCGCCTCCACGATCCCATGCACAACGATAGGGCCATTCCAGTACATATAGGAACGACGAGGGCGGCTTTGCAGGAAGTAACCCCTAAGTTTTAGAAAGGTGTCAATGTATAGCAAGTTCAAAGAGGCTAATATGCATGCTGTGGAGCGTTACTTCCCAGTCGCGGCACTTCAGTACGAGTCGTCTTAACCTTCCAAGTCAACGCGTGCTGCGATGTCGCGACTGGGAAATAATGCCCCACCTCCTCCAAGACAGAACTCATGAAAAAATTTAACACTAAACTCTCCAAAATCCCTCTCCTTCTAGTTTTCTTCTCGTCTTTTCTCTCCACGACCACTTTGGATCGAGTTGGCTTGAAAAAAAACTTGGAAAACTCCCCCTAGTAGGGAAGCCTCCATGGAAGCTCAGGACATACTCCAAAATGGCCGGGTGGGTCCAGGAAAATCACGATCGTCCCTTCCTTCCCGTTGCTGTATCCCTCTTTCTATCAATG